GTGTAGTTGTGCACCTTAGGTTTGGCTAGTGAATTCATGAAGTATTCTGTAAGTACAATCTTATTAATAATTCAGAGTGTTTTGAACATTAAGTTCTGAAGCCCAAATACAAATTGACCTTGACCCTCTTTATTTAACAGAGTATGGTGACCAAATGACATTTACAGAGGACAGTGACCAAAGTAAAGAGGCAGAAGTATGGCCAGCCAGTGATGCATCTGTTGTTACTGAAACTTCACCATCTGAAAGAGGTTTGTTTTAATTAACTTCTGAAAGGATATCTGCATTAAACTTTGTTGATTTGTGTATGAAAGATAATTGGAAGAAAAATAACAATAAGAAAATGTTTGACATCATGGATTGGCAGTCAGTGTGGAATGTTTAATGTGCAAAAAGACAAAAATAAAATTGTTGATTACCTGCAGATAAAGGTGAGTAGAGAAGATGGTGAAAATGATTATGAACTTTCATAAAGTTCTTAAGCCTGATACAAATTGACCTTGACCCTTTTTCTTTAACAGTGTATGGTGACCAAATGACATTTACAGAGGACAGTGACCAAAGTAAAGAGGCAGAAGTATGGCCAGCCAGTGATGCATCTGTTGTAACTGAAACCTCACCATCTGAAACAGGTTTGTTGTGTTTAACTGCTTAAGAGATATCTGCATTAAACTTTGCTGATTATTGCATAAAATATAATGGAAAGAGAAATAAGAACAAGAAGGTGTTTGCAATCTTCAATTTGTGTCGCACATAGCTCAAAAAGTATTTGAGCTAAAGTCATGAAGCTTTACAGGAATGTTGGTCAGCATGTGTAGTTGTGCACCTTAGGTTTGGCTAGTGAATTCATGAAGTATTCTGTAAGTACAATCTTATTAATAATTCAGAGTGTTTGAACATTAAGTTCTGAAGCCCAAATACAAATTGACCTTGACCCTCTTTATTTAACAGAGTATGGTGACCAAATGACATTTACAGAGGACAGTGACCAAAGTAAAGAGGCAGAAGTAGGGCCAGCTAGTGATGCATCTGTTGTTATTGAAACTTCACCATCTGAAAGAGGTTTGTTTTATTTAACTTCTGAAAGGATATCTGCATTAAACTTTGTTGATTTGTGTATAAAAGATAATTGGAAAAAAATAACAATAAGAAAATGTTTGACATCATGGATTGGCAGTCAGTGTGGAATGTTTAATGTGCAAAAAGACAAAAATTAAATTGTTGATTACCGGCAGATAAAGGTGAGTAGAGAAGATGGTGAAAATGATTATGAACTTTCATAAAGTTCTTAAGCCTGATACAAATTGACCTTGACCCTTTTTATTTAACAGTGTATGGTGACCAAATGACATTTACAGAGGACAGTGACCAAAGTAAAGAGGCAGAAGTATGGCCAGCCAGTGATGCATCTGTTGTAACTGAAACCTCACCATCTGAAACAGGTTTGTTGTGTTTAACTGCTTAAGAGATATCTGCATTAAACTTTGCTGAATTTGCATAAAATTTAATGGAAAGAGAAATAAGAACAAGAATGTGTTTGCAATCTTCAATTTGTGTGGCACATAGCTCAAAAAGTATTCGAGCTAAAGTCATGAAGCTTTACAGGAATTTTTTTGTCAGTGTGTGTAGTTGTGCACCTTAGGTTTGGCTAGTGAATTCATGAAGTATTCTGTAAGTACAATCTTATTAATAATTCAGAGTGTTTGAACATAAAGTTCTGAAGCCAATACAAATTGACCCTCTTCTTTTAACAGAATACAGTGACAAAATGAAATTGACAGAGGACAGTGACCAAAGAAAAGAGGCAGAAGTAGGACCAGCCAGTCATGTATCAGTTGTAACTGAAACTTCACCATCTGAAACAGGTTTGTTGTGTTTAACTTCTTAAGTGATATCTGCATTAAACTATGTTGATTTGTGTATGAAAGATAGTTGAAAGAAAAATAACAATTAGAAAATTTTTGACTGTTTGGTTTGGCAGTCATTGTGAAATTAAAATGAAAGTAAAATTGCTGATGACCATTGGGGAAGATGGTGAAAGGATTATGAACTTCCATAAAGTTCTTAAGCCCTGATACAAGTTGACCTCAATACTCTTTATTTCACAGATTACAGTGACCAAATGACATTTACAGAGGACAGTGACCAAAGTCACAAGGTGGAAGAAGGGCCATCCAGTGATGCTTCTGTTGTTACTGAAACTTCACCATCTGAAACAGGTTTGTTGTGTTTAACTTCTTATTGAACTGATCTGCATTAACTTTATTTTCAAATAGTTAAGGTCTTGGGTTAGGGTATGAATTACTTTCTGTGATAGTTATAGTTTATTCAAGGGGATAGATTCCCCCAAATGTTTAAAACCTTGGCAGAAAACTACACAGATATTAAAATAAGAAAGTTTTGCAACATGTGCATGCAATGTTTCCCATGTATGCATTTTTCCCAGTAATGTTTACCTGGGCAATTTTTATGCAAGGATAAAGGTAAAGAAAAAAAACAGATAATTATCAAAGTATATGAAAATGAAACTCACTGTTATATTCTGAGGGTTAGGGTTACCCTAACCCTAACCATTATATTCTGAGGAATAAATCAGGGACATCTAAGTCCTTCTCTTAGCTAGCAAGAATGATATTATTGTCCAAAAAGAAATGTAATCATTGTTTCAGGAGATGAGACAGTTTTTACCATTTATATTGAAGAACCAGAAAAGAGTGAACATGTACAAGGTGATGTATTGTTTGCAGTTAATAAATGTAACAGTGGATTCCAGCTAGAACAGTTAGAAGAATATGTGTCAGATTCAGACTGTTCATCTATTGTGGAGACAGCAACAAATGTAAGAGAAATATAATTATTTCAAACATGCAAACCTCTGTAAAAATTTAAATAAAAAAGGATTTTTTGTTGTATTTTTTTTAGATATTATTCTTTTACCATCAATTAGATCTTTTGTTTTTAAGAGCAACTTTTTGATTATTTTTTATTCATGTCAATTAATATATATCCCTGATGGTCTTGTGACGTTTGGTAAAAAAATCTCAAAAAAAGATACTTTTAAGCTCAGCAGAGCAGAGCATACTCAAGGTGAAATATTGTGATTACTTTCAGTCTGGTGCTCATCTGTGATTTAGAAAAAAGCTACTTTATGTAAAACATTTACTACAATAGAAGATCGTAATAAACATTTCTTATTAGTTCTAAATATCAGGAGGAAAAAAAGGTCAACTACAATGTAAAAGTGGTTATTTTAAATTTTATATGTATGTGATAGTATGTTCATGAATATTAAAGTATGATTAGTTAGAGATCTTCTCTCTTCTTTTAGACTAATTATGAACCAATATGACACCATTGATATTCCAATAGTTCTTATACTGACGCATGATGACTTTTGCATAAAGATATCGTATTGAATAAAACATACAATATTTTAAAATGCTCTTCTAATGAACAATTATGTCTAAAAAATTTGGTCTTTTAATTGTCCAAAACTGCGAAATATGGCCCAGAAGACAGGAAATTAAGGGGAATCCTTTTATGAAAACCCTGTGAGTGTCACTCTAGGAAACAATCAATATTGCTAAAAGTCTTTAAATACTTTTTTGATATAAGATATTTTCGAATAGATAGATATTTTTTTTGAATGCTGAACAGGTGAAAGATTTTTAAAGAAAGATAACAATTGACCATGACTCTTATTTTACAGAGGCCAATATCATTACATAAGGTACTGAAAGCCAGTGCAGATTCAACTTCAGATGGAAGTGAAGAACAAGCTTCATCAAGGGAGTTACCAGGTATGATTTGGCATACAGAATTTACTTTTATACCTGGCAGGAAAACACATCGTACAATTTTAAGAATGAACATGCTAAACTGATAATGGTTTTCTCCCTGTCCTTTGTCCACAAAAACTGGATCTCATGATAACCCAAAAGGAGGTGCTGAAAATATTTCAATGGATAGAAGACAGTATGGAGATTATGCCATCCTTTGATTGTCTTCATATTTTGAAAACAATGGTAACTGTGACAACAAGTAACCTTAAATATTGTAAATAAGCAATATTTGTGATAACTTAGAAAGTATTGAAAAATTTACAATGAAACTTGAAATAAGTTTAGATGGCAGTATGGGGAATTTGCACTTTATTTTTTAAGTCCCCACAGGATGAACTGCCAGTCCACCTGTTAATCATTTCCATGATAATTGGCTATATTTTCTTTATGACTAAATGTAATTACAGTTGACTCTCGTTATCTGGATTTCTTCAGGACTGACGAAAAAATATCAAGATACCAAAATGTCGAGATAAAAGTGTCAAAAAGATAATGAATATTCTGTCCTCAGTTACTCAATATATCATTGTTTCTCGATATGCGTTCATTGTAAGCGTGAAATAAACGTTATTTCTTTGATTCAACAATGTGTCAATATCATTTTTACAGGAAACTTCTGTTTGCAAATATCCAATATCAGATGTTGTGCGATAACATGCTGATCAAGATAAAAGAAAGAATAATGTGTAAAAACTATTTTGGGACTGAAATTTGAGATAAAGTTGAGATAATGAAAAAATAGAGATAAAAAGATCAAGATAAACAAATATTTTTCATATAGATAAAGACAAGGTAAAATCCGAACTTGCAAAATTTGATTGAGATACCAAAATATCAAAATAAGCGATGTCGAGATAATCAGAGTCACCTGTACTTCAAAACTTGGTCACATCAGTCCTTTGGATTCAAGTGATACATATTTCTTTGATCTTGACCTTTAAATGACCTTGACCTTCTAGGGTTTTTTTTCTCCAAAACCTATGACATTGGCCATATTTTCCTAATTTCTTTACAGAATTACTTAACACCTAGCCACACCAACCCCTTTTACAAACCCTTACCATCAACATATATTTCTGTGACCTTGATCTCTAAATGCCCTTGACCTTTGAGGTTGATTTGTCTGAGTACTAGAAAATTGGAAATAATTTCCTATATAATGAAAATTTGATTTGACCTTGAATGATTTTGAACTTAAGGTTATTTTTTGAAAACTTAAACATGAATATTTGTGATAAGTTCATTATTATTGAATGGAGTTACTTCAGATTTTTCCACAACAACCTTTTGGACTTAACGTTATATGAAACATGACTACATTATAAACATCATGATGAGGAGAATCAGTTTAACCTGCAGGCATTATCCAAGGTTTACCCTCTGTGTGTCTGTTCATCTGTCCACAAATACTTGATCCTCAAAAGGCATTTAAAGTATTAATTTTCTCAAAACTTAAATTATATAGATAAAATATCATTTTATTTTCTAAAAAAAGAAGTCAGGTTGCTATGATAACAAAATGACACAAAATTTGCAAATTCAATATATATTTTATAACACTAATAATAATTAATTGCTTGTATTACTCTGATTAATCATATCTATTTTTTCACATTTTTAGGTATTGTAATACAGGCTGTAACAGGTTCAGGAAAACGAGACTACACAAAAAAGCACTGCTGTTTCTTCTGCGAAAAATCAATAAGTAAAATAGGAAGACACCTGGAAAAGGCTCATCAAGATGAACCTGAGATTAGAGAGCTTCCTCCTGTGTCCAAAAACAATTCCACTAGTGAAATAGCAAAAAGAAAGATGGTGTTGTCTAAATACCGCAACCTGGGAAACTTCAATCATAACATTAGTGTGTTGTTAAAAAAGAAGGGTATATTTTATGTTGGAAGGCGGCCACCTAAAGAGAAGGGAAACAGTGCCAGCAGTTATTTACCATGCCCATATTGTTTGACATTCCTTGTGAAAAGTGAACTTTGGAGACATGTAAAAATTTGCTCTTTTAAAGAAAATAAACTCACTGTTAGTAATGCAGAAGAGTTAAAGAAGGCAACAGATGAGTGTGTCAGTTCAGCAGAGTACATACTTCAAGGGGCTTTAGGAACAGAGGTGTATAATTCAGACAATCAAGAATTCATTGATCATGTTGTTAAACGTTTTCATATGGACAATGTAAGCCTTGCTGTTAAGAGTGACAAATTGCTATTAATATTTGGAAAAATGCAACTACGAAAGCTTGGCCTCCAACGGGCTTGTCAAGTAAGAGAGAAATTGAGGATACTTGGAAGAGTCAAAATTGAACTTAGATCATTAACAGGTTTAGAATCAGCTGATATGGACAGTTTCATTACACCCAGTAAATTTGACATTTGTATGAAAGCTGTACGTAATTTGTCTGGAGAGTCCAACGAAGGGTCATCTACAGGATCCAAAACATTTAAAAGACCGTCTTTGGCTTTAAAAGCAGGCCAGCTGTTGAAAAGAATTGCTGTGTTAAAAAGAGGTCAAGCCATCAGAAAACTAGACCTTTCAGAAAAAGATGAAACTGATCAATTTATTAGTCTGTACAAAGAAGAATTCTCCGAAGTCATCTCTTCTCTGGCCCATCACACACTTTCAGAAAGAAAATATAATAAGAAAGTACTTCTTCCATTGACAAAGGACCTCCTGAAATATATGGTGAGTAAAATTATCCCTTACTATCCAGTTTCAGGTTTGTGTCTCCATCCTGGCACTACAAAAGTTCCTGTTATATTGCAGTAAATATTTTGTATATTAGACACGTTTCCTGTAGAGGGATTTATGTTTTGCCTTCACTACTCCGAAAACCAATTGGTTTGAATCAGTTTACCTGAATTTCAGTTTACTTGAAGTTGTGGTCTGTTTTAAATAACACACATCCTTAAACGCTTAACAACTATTGGTAAAACTTAGCCAGGATTATCTTTGCTTCAAGCAGTACCAATGTAATTTTGAGACTCCATATAGAATTTTGGTTGCTTTGACAGCTGACTGGAAAACATTCTTGTTAAAATCTAAGCTTAGTGATTGAATAAATAGTTAAATTTGACCAGGATATACTTGCATTTTGTCTAAGAATTCTTAATTTGATATAGTTGGCAAAAACCTGTTTATACTCTGTTTGGGTAGTATTTTGTATAAAGTCTTTGTTTGGTTAAAGTTACATAAAATACATAATCCGTGAAAAAACATATTTAATATTAAAAATGAAATATGTATTCCATGAAATGAAATACATACTCTATAAAAATGGCTGTACAGTATATTCTTGCTTGCTTCAGAATTACTTAGAGAGCACAACCATTGAAAGTACAAGATTGTTTCTAGACTGTCCTTGCTCAAGTCATTGGAATACACTTGCGGAAGTAACAATTGCCAGAATAATACTTTTCAACAAAAGACGGGCAAGTGAGGGGGCAAAAATGTTAGTGTCGCAATTTGTAGGTAGACCTGCTTATGGTAAAGAAAACGAAGAATTGGTTTCAACATTGCAACCAATAGAAAAGCAATTGATGAAGACGTAAGTTGATTTAGTTATGCCACCCTTCAAGGGAATATTGTTTTGTAAATGTCCATTTGTCAGTCTGTCCATTGACCAAATGGTTTCCAAATTTCTTAAGAATGTTTAAGGATCATGAATGCTGATTTGGAGGTTGTCCTGACCAGCATAAAAAGGTCAGTCTATCAAAGGTTAAGGTCTCATTGACTGAAAACTGTTTTTGGATGATAGCTTGAGAATGCTTGCCCATATGATCATGGAAGTTGATAGGAAGGTTGATAATGACAAGCATATGACCTTGATAGATTTTGAGGTCAGTAGCTCAAAGGTCAGATCACATCTGCACACAAAGTGAAACATTTTCCGCATGATAAAACTAAGGAATGCTTGATAGGTTTATATTGTACTTTGGTAGTTAAGATGGATACTTGATGCTGCCTGTAGAGCAGTTGTAGACTTTCTATACCAGACAATCACTTTCAAAGCAGAAAACAATAAAAAATTAAGTATTTGACTTGATTTTTTAAATTTCCTTGCGATATCTTTATCGTAAATCTGTTTAACCTGAGTAAACAGTCCATTCAGTGGTAACCAGTTAGCAGCCACTTTCATGTTCTGTTTTCCTATTTTGTTACTTCATTCAACAGTCATCTCTTTCTTTCTCAGTCACCATCTGATTTGCAACCTGACCCTTTTAATGGCCACTCAAGGCCGTTAATATTAGTTGAAGCCACCTGTTGCAATTCAGCTATACCTACAAGATTTCTCTTAAGTGGATGGCTTTTATTATGAAACATTTGCTCAAGTTTGTTCAAATTATGGTCTTGTAGTCAATATTGAACTTGACCGGGGGTGCACTAATTGCTTAGAACTGGTTGGTTCCAGGAATGGATTCGAGGGTGTTTTTAGAAGCTTAAAGCTTTCAGTACAATCAAACTGAAAGATATAAACTAGAAAGAAAGTATAAACTAGGGATGTATGCGAATATCCGGATACTGTTATAGTATTTGGATACAAAATTGTTATCAAAATATCAGTATGACTTTCTTATTTTGATTGATTTATCATTCATGAGTTATATTTCCCTTTTTTAAAAAGACAAGTTTGTTTCTTCAGCAAATTCATGTGTTTTCTTTTTCGTTACAGTCCATGGTTCATTGCTATAGCCTAGAGGTGTTTTCACTATGAATGAGACATATTGTTTGCTTAACAAGTGTCACGCTGTATTCTTTTTGTTAATAACTGACCAATTCCAATGTAAATTGGGATATGACACGCGGTATTCCTTTCTCCTAGATAATTATCAGCAGTTTGCATATTAATTAGGATGTTTTACTAATCTCTTGTTAAATATAAGCCAGGTGTGAATGATGTCATGACTTCCGTGTTTGAACTACACAACAGACTTAAATATGAATTTCATACAAAACTATCTGTCTAAGTAAGAACAGGAATGTTGTTTAAAAAAAAACGAATATAGCTGATGTTTCAATTTTGTAGAGTTAAGACAGAGTATGCATGGCAATTTTAATCTGCGGAACATATAATGAAATTGTTATCATTTACAAAATTAAGAGCGATCCATTGGGACAATATCTTTAATGCAAGATTTTTATTTCATAAAATTCCAGATGTGCTCCATTTTTATATCATAAAACATTGAAAAAATATTGAGAACAAAATAAAATGAGTCAGTATATGTCAGTCATTATTAACTAATTTTGCATGATATATGGCAAAATAAACTATCAGTGTCGTTTTTCTCAGGTTCTTGAATACCACCCAATATATTTCATTTCACTGACTTACCTTTTCTAACAAAGCAATATAAACTGAAATTAATTTGAATATTCACTATTACATTTAAAATTTTGCTATCATTTTGCAGAAATAGTATCTTAATAAACACAAATTTTATCAGCATTTACATGTTACCATCAAATTCAATCAAGGGTAGCCCTGATTCAATAGGCAATATTACGATACATAATATAATCATCTACACGAATATTCGGATAATATCTGGATACTACATATTAATATACGGATATCAATTTTACTATTCGTATACATCCCTTGTATAAACTAAAATCATTGACAGATTAATTGAAAGAAAAAAAGTAAATATAAAAAATATCTCAGATGTATAATTAATATATTTCAGTCGACCTGCAGGTATTGCCTTGTCAATAAATTAGTAGGTGCGAAAAAACAAGACCGTTGGGCCATCCTTAAAAAAATGTTTGTTTGCAGTAACGCGACCGACTCACAAAATTTGCCCCTACTCAAAAGTTTTTTTCATGGTCTGGATAAAAAAAATTTTTTTTAATCAGAAAATTATGCCTTGTGCTTTGTTTTTGTTCTTTCAAAGGTTAATAGAAGAAATAAAATGTAGGTATTAGTAAAAAAAAAAAAAAAAAAAAAAAAAATCGACCTACCTACCCACCTTGAAAATTCTGGGTCGGGTTACTGCAAACAAACATTTTTTTAAGGATGGCCTTGACCCTGTTGCCCTTTCAAAAGACACTGACAGGTTTAAAGAGACTGTTTGAATGATGAAGGAAATCATTCTCAGTTTGTCAATCAAAAGAGATCTACAAACCTGGGGCACTCTCTTAATGATGTTATTTAAAGTCAGTAAACCCTTTTATATTGTAAAATAGGACAATAGAAGAAAGAACATATTTATATATGCCAAACAATTCATATACTTTTTGGGATATGATTTTAAGATACAAACAAGCTTTATCCCTGACTTCCTCACAATATGATAGTTACAATACATGTAAACCAAAGAATTACAAAATGCCTCTGCAAAAATTGTCTCTGTAAAACTATTCCAAAGGCAGCAATATAAGTGATGAAAACAACAATCAAATTACCCTTTGCTGTAATGTGCATAAATGGACTTACTTATATCAAGTATATACATAGCCACTGGAAAGGGAAGCATAATTCAGATGCTTCAAGTTCACCTATACTAGTATGCCTGAAAAACAGACATCTGTGGCAAACTTTCTAAATTCAACCAGAAAATATGTGTACCATTCAAAAAGAGAACACTACTAGTGCACCCAAGTTTTCATGGATATGGTTGTTAAACTGCTGCAAAGTTTTTCAAGTAATTTGGTAGAAATTGTCACCTTTATGAGACAATGTGTAGAGCACAAAAACAAGTCTCTACCCCTGAGGTCAATATCACACTCAAATGGTCCAAATGTTAAAACATCTATTTTTCATGTCCCCTCTTTAATTGTTAGACAATTCTAAGGTTTTAGAATTACTTAGCACAAATTTTCCCTGCCGTGACACAATCTGCAGAGCACAACCTACAGGTTGCCCCCAAGGTACACACAAGTTGCTACCATCAAGATCAAGGTTTCATTTAAAAATTAAATGATAAAGTCCACAGTACCTGTAATTTACTGACTTGTCTAATAGAGAGTTTTAATTTGCTTTGCACAAAATATCATCACCATCACAAGATGTGCAGAACCCAACATGCAGGCTGCTACCCCAAAGATCAAGGTTAAATTGTTTTTCATAAAGTTTTGGCTAAATGGAAGAATTTAAATATCTTACCACAAAAAGTCACCACCCTGAGACTTTGTGCTTTTGATATGCATGGCTCAATGTCAAGGTTGTGGTTGGTTAAATGTCAAGAAGTACACATTCACATCTGCTGCGGAAGAGGAATTAGCTGTCATTTAGACTGCATTGTTAATTTTATATAGATTTTAGCCCTTGATTATACAATGCCTCATAGGACTACTGTCAAACTTGTGTTGAATAACAATGTGATGATCACAGCACCAAATAAATGATATTGAACATTGATATTTTATTTACATTCAGTATTATATGGATGTTACCATATATACTGTATTAAAATATATGGTGTTATTTTCCTATTAAGATCTAAATATGAAAGCATGCTAATTAATTCATAAACTTCTCTCTTTTCTTATATGCTCATAACTGAAGTACACATTTTTAGCTCGACTTTTCTATGAAAAGGGAGCTATCCTACTCGCCCCGGCGTCGGCGTCGGCGTCGGCGTTGGCGTCGGCGTCGGCGTTGGCGTCACACCTTGGTTAAGTTTTTCGTACCACCCCACTTTATTTCAGAAGTATTACAAGTATGGCTTTGAAACTTACCATACTTGTTCACCATCATAACCTCCATCTACAGACAGGAGTACATAACTCTGTCAAGGTTTTTGACAGAATTATGGCCCTTTTTTGACTTAGAAAGTGTATTGAGCTTGGTTAAGTTTTTTGTACCACCTCACTTTATTTCAAAACCATTGGAGGTATTGCTTTGAAACTGACCATACTTGTTTACCATCACGACCTTCATCAACAGACAAGAGGACATAAACTCTGTCAAGGTTTTTGACAGAATTATGCCCTTTTTGACTTAGAAAATACATTGAATATGGGTAAAATCCACTTATTGCCTTAACCCTTTGAGATATTGCTTTGAAACTTTTAATGCTATTTCACATCATTACCCATCTGTACGCAAGAGAAGGTAACTCTGTCAGGGATTTGTTTTAAAAATTAAGGCCTTTTATCGACTTAGAATCTTGGTTAACTTTTTTGTACCAGTCAACTTTTTGACTGAACTGGTTGAGATATTAAATTGAAAGTTGGAATACTTGTTTACCATCATGGTCCCAAACATGAGCAGGAGAAGGTAATTCTGTTAAGGATTTTATTTGAATTATGGCCCTTTTTGACTTAGAAACTCAGTTAAAATTTTCATTCTTGTCCACTTGTTGACTTAACCATTTGAGATATTACTTTGGAAGTTGGAGTTCTTATGTGCCATCATGAGACCTATCTGTAAGCAAGAGAAGATAACTCTGTGAAAATGTTTCTTGATTTGTTCTTAGAAATTCCTAGTTAAAGTCTTGTGTGCCCTTAACTGTCAAAGTTTTGTTTTATAGGCAAGCACTAAAAAAGTCGAGCGCGCTGTCCTTCTGACAGCTCTTGTTATTGATATATGCAATGCATTGCCATGTTTATGCTGTATAAATTACTGCATTAGTACAAATACATATTGAAAAGCACATTATAGTTAAATTCAGATGAATTGTCATAATTGTTCAAAGTTAAAATAGGGTTTAAATCAGGTATATAATTTACCATGTTACAATTACTATGCATATGATTAACCAATTAATCATTTGTAAAATCAAGTGATTAACAGTTTAGTAAAACTTTAGTGTCATTCTATACAATGCATGGCATTAGATTTCACAAAGTTAGTGTTTTTTCTAGAATGAGTTTGGTAGAAGTAGTTGGAAAACAGTACAAACGTGTGCCCATTCTTCTTTCCCAAACAATGGTTGAAGCTATACAAGCCTTGGTGGACAAAAGGGCAGAAGGGGGAGTTAGAAGTTGCAATCCATATGTATTTGCTCAGGTATGTCTCATAACAGTCTTTGCACTTGTGAATATGAGGACATTTCTAGTGAGATCTTAAGTTGTATGTTACAACAACAAAAGAGAACATTAAGTATATTTGAAAAAGGATCTTGCTTCTTTACATCAATTATATTGATTCTTTAATGTGATAAAAGCCAAGGTGAGAAATAAAAAAAAAAGCATGTAGTTTTAAAACTACATGTATGTCAGTCCACGCTACTGCAATAAATGGGGGGGAGGTGAATCTAACTGTAAAGAGTACAATTACAATAGTGTTCATTCTGTAACAATATAATAAGGGGCAAATGACCCTAAATTAGACAAAAGAAAATATCAAATGGAATGGCCCTTTATTCCATTTTGGTTATTTGACCGTCTATCAAAAAACTTTAGCATTGGCCATAACTTACTTGTTAACCAATGGATTTACTTCATACTTAAATACAACACCTCTTTAGAGAAGGCATTCCCACTGACATATAATTTCTGATTTCTTAAAAGGTCATATTGTAGAAGACATTGGCCATTTCTGTTTTGTCAGTAAATGGATCTACTTCGTACTCGTACACAACACCCCCTTTAATAAGACCTTCCCATTGACCTATATTCATATTACCTTGAGGAAAACTTGAACATTATCCATGATTTTATTAATAACTGGATATCATACCTTCATACTTGCTCTAAAGCTCCTTCAGATGGCACCTTCCCTTTCACCTGTATTTATTTGACTTGGGCCTCCTAAAATCCAATTGTTTAAAAATTTTAACATTGGTTTTATTTTCTGTATTAAATTGATACACTGACCTTATTAATTTTATGTCACTTTTATATTCACAGAGTAAGTGTAATTCATAACTCTACATTAATAGTTATTGGCAAATTTCAGATTACTACTATCAGCACCCCTTATTATTAATCTGGTGTTCTCAAAATCTTGTAGAAGATTTCCAAAATCAGTTCAGCAGCTGCTATTTATTTTTCTTATGCTTTGATGTCTTTCAGGGAGACAGCAACTTTAAGCGGGGAAGTGATTGTATTAGAAGAACTGTTCAGGCCTGTGAGCTTGAATTCCCTGAAAGAATCACCAGTACAAAACTCAGAAAATACCTAGCAACTGTGTCACAGGTGAGCTGGAGTGACAATTTCTGATGTTATGTTGCAGATAATGCTGTTAAATTCTCTCAATGTGCATATTAAAACCATACAATCAAGCCCATTTACTATTAAATGGTTCTTGAGATATTATTATTTAGTGAAGTATTAACAGGTCTAGAATTATGATGTGAATATAATTGACTGCAACTTAACTGAATAAATGAATTCTGGTGAATAACACTACCAGTATGCTGCATTTGTTTCAGGTGTTTAATCTGTCAGAATCAGAATTAGGGGAGTTAGCACGCCACATGGGTCATGAACTGAGCGTGCATAGACGCTTTTACCGTCTACAGGACGATGTGATAGAGTTGGCAAAGGTGTCACGTCTGCTAATGTCTGTAGAGGAAGGCAAGGCAGCTCAGTTTGCAGGATGTACATTAGATGACATTAATCTTGAAGGTAATTTCTAAACTCCTTAGCAAGACTATAGAGTGTGTGATGCTTAAGGTTTTATTTGTCTATAGGTCTCAGTATGGGTAAGAGATATGATATTTATGTCAATACAAAATGGCTAGTGTATGATATATCACAAGATATATTCTTTTATTATGAAAGTGAACTTGCAGGTACTATCTATTCATTATTCAACATTTGTTTAATGAAGTTTTGAACAGGGTTTATATATATAGGTATCACTTGGCAGGCCCTTAGCCTTTCATTGTATTGATTTTACACTACATAGATATAATGGACACAACCTAAGAGTCATTTATTAGTTTTAGTTAAAATTATGCATATTGCCTAGAAATAGGACTTTAATAATAGTTTTTCTTAGAATAAATTTCATCAACTTGGTAACAAATATTCAGGAGCGCAGTGGGTTATTACCATAGTATATAGTTGTTCAAGGGACCACCCATAACAATGCAAAGTAAACTGGTGACAATGCAAGGCAACACTCAAAAATGCAAAGCGATGCTTGGCGATCAGCTATGAATTGCAAAGGCTGAAATTAAAAGCTAAAGACAATTTGATGTGCACGTTTAAAAAATTCAAATTCTTAATCATAAAATACCTATCTCCTTGTTTCTAATGAAAATGATGAATTAATGTGGAACACTAGGAGTTTATTGACAATTTTTGCTTAATTAATTTCTACACACTGAGACTGTGTTATATAAAATAATCAGAAAATAAAAATCTTCATTGGTTCTTTAGTTGACTGGCTTTATTAGGTCATGAATAAGGCATGTTTTTATTTCCAAAATAGACGTATACAAACCACTAGCTTGGGTTTAATAAAAGATCATATTGTTCATTTGCAGATTTCGAAGAAGTTGAAGAAGAAGATGTAGGTGATGATGAAGATGGTGTTGAAGTTGACTTTGGTATTTACTTACATTACTAAGTGTAATTGTCATTTTAGTTGAAAATTTCTGAAGTGGTCTTAATTTCCACTGGTTGTTGCACAAATTTAATAATCCTGATAAAACTTCCACGAAAAGAAATTACCAAAACCAAAAAATGTGCTTATCTAAGACCCTGACATCTCAGAAAATGTCATTGACGCTAATTTCACATTATAAGAAAGGGGATTTGATACCTTTAAGAGAATTTATTTTAATTAGTAGGGTGAAGTAACAAATTTTCTTCATCATTCACCTTTTGTAATTCTAGATGGAGGTTTGCTTTAAAAATTGATATTAACTATTTGTGGAAAGTCCTGTAAAGTGACAATGTACACAATTTTTTACAGTCATAAAAGAACCATATTTCAAAAACAAACTCAGAAAATTGAAGATGTGTAGCCTTTGTAGTTTCTTAGATGCTGGCTAGAAGGTGTATTGCCACTGAATAAATATTACATAAAAAACCAAATGATAATGTGCAGGTTTGAAACTTCAATTATGCACTCATTTCATATTCTGATACTTTTTTTTTTTAGATCCTCATTTGGACGCTGTTGAGAATATTGTACCAAGTTCTCATCCATCAAAGGAAAGTGTGGTTCAAGGTATGTTAAAGGAACTCATAGTGTTTTTATTTCTCTGTTTTTAGCAGATTCACCTCTCTGAAATATACTTTGACCTTGACCTTTTTCATGAGAGAAATTGTACTGAAGTAGATAGTAATAGCAAAGGAAAATGTTTAATTTGCTTGTAAGAGTTATTGGTGAAAACAAAACTAGAAGAAGATGGCTTGCTTGCAAAAATTCATAGTATTTTCATTTTCTCTTATCAAAACTTAAGAGTTTAATCTTCAATTAATTCGCTTTTATCCCAACTTTGCTTTAGAAGAATAAAAAAGAGGAATTGTTACAATCCTGTTTGCATTCCTATTGTTTCAGCAACCTTTAATATGGATCATAATTTTTAAACTTCTTGGTGTTTTGTCTCCATTATACTTGTTAACTGCTTTATTTAGAAAGGCCCAAAATTAGGATTGCAAAAACCAACTATCTCTGATGCATTGTACTTTTGAAAATGAGCAGCAGATTGTTTTAGCAACAACACCCTTATGATTAAACCTTCAAGGAGACCATACTAAACTTGACCATCATCAATTAATGACCTTGAAGTTCAAATTATTTCCTTCTTTTTTTTTTTGCTGTAACTGGCTATAAATTTGTTATTAATGAGTGGATTGACTACAGAGGTAAAAATTTTTAGGATAAGACCTTTATGTATAACTTTCTCAAATTGACCTTGGGTCCTTAATGACCTTGATGGTAAAATTACTGTTTTCACTGATTTTGCTATAATTGACTTACTTTGTAATTAGTTAATGTATTATCTGCATACTTGGAAAAAAATAACCCTTTTGGACAAGACCTTCTTTAAGGTTGAACTGTCCTTGACCTTGAACTTTTAGTGACTTATAAGGTCAAATTATTGAATTTTTTTACTAAATTTTCATAATTTTGTTTATGTACATATTTGCTTCATACTCTGACAAAACACACTTGTGACAAATGGTCATGGTGAATAATTTAGATATGACCTTGACTGTCAAAGTCAAATGATTGAATTTTGCAGATATTCCTCTATCATTCATTTATGGAAATGATTCATACTGGGATTAAACAAAAATTGTGATCTGACAATCCTATCCAAAAAAGTTTTTATCTTTAATTTTATTCTTATTTCTAATTTTTTTATTTCATTATTTGTTTGCTTTTGAAAAAGTCAAGCGTTGCTTCTACCTGGTAGTGACTTGTTTTGTTTTTTGTGGGTTTTTTTCTCCATATTTTGCACTTCTTTTCAGATGATGTGTTGGACACTGATGAGGATGTTGTAGCTTGTGCTCCTGCGTCAAAAAAAAGAGTTGGTTCAAGGTATGTCAACAGAACTCATAGTGATTACAGCATGAAGTGCTAATTTTCATTGTGCATTTTTGTGACCTGTCCTTTCCTGTGGTCAACATTTTACTTAAACAATATTTTCTTAACCACTTGGCCAAATTTGATGAAACTTGCCATGGACAATCTTTGCATGATGCCCTTTTAAATCTGTTCAACAAATTTCATTCCATCAAAAACTGTGGTTGCCATGGCAACTGAAAAATTAACTTTAAACATCTTGTCTAAACCCACAGCTTAGATATTTGTCATGTAGCATATGGTGGTTC